TCCAGAAGTCTCAGTAGATGTGAGAAGGGAAGCTCTTATGAGAGCTAGCAATCTTGCATTAATGAGGGGTGTGACAACAGTTGTTGATGTTGGGAGATATTTTCCCGGTTCATCAACAGAAACCTCATGGGAAGATTTTTCAGGTTCTTGCTTCATGCTCGTCATTGAGACTTCTTCTTTGAATGTATGTCATGTTATCATGTATTGTTACAAAAAGGTTCTTAGAATATTTCAGTGTTGCTATTGCTATGATAATAGCTAAAGCACTTAGGAGAGGACCAAGAAAGCTAGTAATTAGGCCTAAATGCAATAATTGGGAAACCAAATTGGTATCTCTACTTTCAAGTTGATTTGAAAATTTAAGTGTATGGATCCAACAAATTAAAAGCTCATTTGTCTGGTTCTATTGAACTTGTGAAGCATGTCTTTGAGTGCTCTATTGAGGATATCAATCCAGCATAAACTCAGTTTACTCTTTTTTCATGATTGCAGATGTGTATACTTGGGCTGATTTGGTTGGAAAGATGTTGATCAGAGTCTGCTTATTCTTTCCAATAGAAACATGGGCACGTTTACGTGTATGGTTTTTTTTTTTGGGAGCAATACATGTCTGTTTTTAGATTATTGGGAAAGGCAAAATCTGTTTAAATATTTATGAAAGGTGCTTAGTCACCTTAAGTGAGGCGATATTTTGAATGGGGCAACAACATAATTATAGCAGACTGCAAAATACTTGGTTTGAGTATATACTAAGGATTTTGTAATTATTGGATTTAGCCTGGACCAGTGATGTTATGGCTGGGCCTTGTGAGGATGCAAGGGCCCTAAGAAGAAGAAGAAGAAGAGAAAGGGGGGGGGGGTTTGAGTGTGATACCAGAAGTCTGAGCACTCAAGTCCAACTTGGGATATGCATTTTGCGCTAGCGAGTACAGAGCCCAAACAGCTGAACTCTCAGGTTGCTTCTTTGGTCTGCAGGGTCAGGGCATGACATTAGGCTACACAAATATCAACATGATAAGTGGAATGAAAAAGTATGGAGATTCTTTTATGCTACTATATTTATGGAGGTTGTTTATTAGTAAAATGGGTAACCAGGCACAGTGATGTTATGGCTGGGCCTTGTGAGGATGCAAGGGCCCTAAGAAGAAGAAGAAGAAGAGAAAGGGGGGGGGGTTTGAGTGTGATACCAGAAGTCTGAGCACTCAAGTCCAACTTGGGATATGCATTTTGCGCTAGCGAGTACAGAGCCCAAACAGCTGAACTCTCAGGTTGCTTCTTTGGTCTGCAGGGTCAGGGCATGACATTAGGCTACACAAATATCAACATGATAAGTGGAATGAAAAAGTATGGAGATTCTTTTATGCTACTATATTTATGGAGGTTGTTTATTAGTAAAATGGGTAACCAGGCACACCTACCGGATATGATTGGCAGTTTATTGGAGTGCTCTATTCTAGGATGTTTCTGATTCTCTTAGAATTATGTCTCTGAATGCTCTATTTTCTAATCAATCATTAAGCTCTTCTGTTTTAGGAGATGGAATTATGCCTCCGGTAATTTAGTACCATCCTTCCATTCAGCTCTAAGGGTTTGGACAGAAAAGAGTTACTTTTATACTGATATTTCTAGAAATTATTGTGGAGTTCTAGGACAAGAGGTAGACCATGTATCTTCACTTCTCCATAAATTGTCTCTTTACTGAACTATTTTTTAAAATGCTGCAGTGTTTTATTGAATCTTGAACAAGAAGGTCTATCAATACCAATTATCCAAATTGAATTCCTACTTGCTGTTAAAGTACATCCCAAGATAATGGCTACTTTTATTGGCTAGAAACATATACCTTCTTCTCTTTCAACAGTTATATACATGAAGAAAGTTAGAAGCCTGATGCAAGTTTCCCTTTATCTCCTTAAATGTTAATAAACTTGCTTTGGTGGAGTCCCCATATTGCTGAATTCTCAATTATTATATCTTTAGCTCTCTTTGAAATCTGTGCCCAGTCAAACAAAGACATTCAATCTGGGCCAGTTGGAGTATAATGCGTGAAACCATGGGTTGCTAACTTAATTCACGACCTTTAATTTTCGTCCTAAATGATTGTATTTTCTTGTCCAGGATTTAAAATATAAGGCAGGCCCTAAGCTTAGTGAAAAGATATACTTGGGTGGCGTAAAGGCTTTTGCTGATGGATCATTGGGGTCAAGTAGTGCGCTTTTCCATGAGGTAAGCATGATTTTCTTACGCTAAAGTAACTTTCTTTTTGGAGGTGAACTTCTGTTTGCCATATTTTCCTCTTGGGCTATGAGTTTACCCAATCATACTAATACATATCCACTTTTTATCTAGCCTTATGTTGATGAACCTCATAATTCTGGTCTAGAAGTAGCAGATATTAATAGTCTACATGGAATGACTGTTTCAGCAGATAAAGCTGGCCTTCAGGTGATTTATATCATGTTGCATAGATCCGATCCTCTTTTTTAGTTCTCCGTGTTTAAAGATATTGACAATGTTGCTTCTGCATCCTTCCAGGTTGCCATACATGCAATAGGTGACAAGGCAAATGCCTTGATATTGGACATGTATGCATCAGTGGTCTCTCACAATGGGTTCAGGGACAGAAGGTTTAGGGTAAATCTTAAAAACTGATGGACTATAATTTGTGCAAGATAGGGGTTCTCATTTTTCTTCTTGCCTGATTTGTGGTACTATTCTTCTTCAGTAAGATGAATCTCCAATACTAATGAGTACTTGCAGATTGAACATGCTCAGCATTTGGTGCCTGGTATGGCATCCCGATTTAGTGAACAAGCTATTATTGCTTCAGTTCAGGTATCTCACTTACATGCTTAAAATTGCGGCACTACTATATATCCTAATCCTTTGTCATTAACCTCATTCAACACTGCTGCATCAGGGGGCGGGGGGCAGGGCATGCGGTTGGGCGGTTCCAGGGGAGGGAGTGCAAGTGAGAGGTCCCAGTTTCGGGCCCTCGCACGTGCACTTGAAAAAAAAAATAAAAGAAAAAAAGAACACTGCTGCATCAGGATTAATCTAGCTCGCAACTTCTGCTGGCTAATGCTACTTAATAATTTATTCCCTTTACTAACTCTTCCTCATTAAATTCTGTTTCTTTTTATCTTCCATTCATAAACTCCTGAAATTCAAATATGCTCTTTTGACAACTTCGCTTTGTGCAATCAACACCATAAACACTGTCCAGACTTCTGCCATAATGAATAGTGTGTAAAATGCATCCCTTTGCTTTGCACGTTTAATGCACAGCTTCTTTGACTGGAATGGTCTAATGTAAACACTCCAGATGAAAAATGTCCCCCTTGGCTTAACTGGATGAGTCTGCAATATTTCTATATTAGCTCCTGTTGTAAGTACTGGATCCCATCCATTTTCTTTTCTTTTTGCTTTGTTTAACATAATTCATTTGCTGGGGAAAAAAATGATCCAAGACTGTCAATCCTTGCCTTTGAAAAGTATCAAATGATTGTGTATCTCCAATCTACGACAACAGGATTTTTGTATCTAAATTTCTAAGCCTCTTTGAATGATGTATTAAAATTTAGAAAAAGAATGAAAGTATAAGAGAACAACTAAGATGTATCACATTAGAACAACCTAATGGAAGAGCAAACAATTTGTTCCTTTGTAAGTTTTAAAGCATAAGCAACTATTTTATTAGTAAACTGAGAAGATCATCATTCTTAAATAAATCTATGTTGTGTTTTACCAATATTTGGAACCTTCAGAACTCATGTGTGTTGTTTCATAAATAAAAGTTGAACATGCGAGGTGATCCTTGGAAACATTATCTAAACACGCATTAGTAAAATCAAAGGTTCATACATATTAAACCGTGTATCAGGATTTTGGATGGGTGTTAATAGTTGAAATCCATTGAAAGAAAAATTGTGGATGACTGGGTAAGTGGAAAGCTGTGGATCCTTTTGCTCTTATAAAAGCTTTACAACACTATAATGGACGAACATCTTTCCTTAAATTTAGGGGGAGGAATGAGAATTCCAGTTGCTCCCCAGACCCTGTGGTGCAACCCCTTTTGGATATTCCAGTGCGCATGCTTTTTGCTTCTTCTTTTCTACATTCACTTTGTGTAATTTCCAACAAAAGATCAGCCACAGAATCCACGTCGCTCTGCTATTTTTACAAGCATGTTTCCACATTTTTGCATTAGTAGTTTTAGTTAAATTCCAATATCTTGCAGCCTGATCACATGCTGGATGATGCTGATTCTGCAATAAAGAAACTTGGGATAGAGAGAGCAACAAAAGGATCTTATGTTTTCCAGTCACTTCTTGCCAGTGGTACAAAGTTGGCATTTGGCTCTGATTGGCCAGTGAGAATTTATTGCCAGCAAGTTTTGTGCTGAGATCCCACATTTATTATTGTGTTCTTGTCAATGGGTTCAGTCAAAATACTTGGACTTGTTTATCTCAGTGAAAGTTGCATTCTCAAATCATCTTGTTTGATTGTTTCAGGTTGCAGATATTAATCCTTTAGGAAGCATGAGGACAGCAATGAAAAGAATACCTTCTGGTTGGCACGAGGCTTGGTCATCATCAGAGTGCATGAATCTGAGTGATGCATTAAAAGCGTAAGAAACATTTTCGAACTCTTTACTTTGGTTATTTGTATATTTAACCTTGATATGATTTACGTTTTTCTTCAAGGCAATGGAACCTTTCCTTTATCAGGATTTAAGGTCAAAGAAACCAAGGATTTTTCTTGTTGATTTCAATTATCTTATTTTGCTTTTGCCTTAAGCATCGATTGTCTTATAATTGCTTCAAGATTTATTAGTAGCTTACTATCATAAACTCCCGAGTGTGAAGCTGAATCTTTTCCAAAACACAAAATTCTGCAGCATAATTTGAAGTAGAATATTAGCATATAAAGCAAAATAGAAATGGGGGATATCACTGGAGCAAGATTTAACTCGACGTGAGAGTGATTCTGGCTGGCCCTAGCTAAAAAGAAAACTTTTATTGCTGAATTATTGCTTTTGAAGATGTTTCAGCATAATTGATTGTCTGAATTAACTTAAAATGAATGCAAAATTACTCAACTCCATAATTGACAATGTGCACAGTATGGCTAAATGAAGCACACTGCTGGGAAATTGACACAGACATTTTTTACAACTTGACTATTGGTTGTCTTGGCTTTCCTTTCATATGTTATGAGCCTTGCTTTCTCTCATACTTGCTGCATTCTTGGATTACGAATAAGTTTTAGCAGAAGTGCTGAAGATCCTTGACGTTTCCTTCCCATATGTGAGGTCCAGGGTTTAAAGTCCACCATCCCTGGGGAACATAGGACAATACGTGTGTGTAAGCTAATATACCATCCTTCAAGGGAGAAGACACCTCTCCTATATTATCGAGCAATTTATCTATGTTTTGCGCATAGGATATGTGCATTCATTTTGCTAAAATCTAGATCATATAGTCATACTCTTCTTTAGGTGCCATAAAAACTGGTATCAATTTTGTTCTTCTCTGTGCTACCATATTATTTCTCTTTTTTTAACTAAAAGAAGCTGGTTGAGAAAAGAATTGCATGAGTTGGTATAGTGGGAAAATGTTAATGTAAACTTCCACTTTCCAGAATGCATCATCCTGTCTCAGAATCAAGCAATTTGCTCGATTTTACTCCCTTTTCAATAGGAGATTTGGTTTTCTATCCTATAATGCTTTCATGCAGACAGATTATAATTACAAATGATCGCAAAAACTTCTTCTCAATTTTAGTGTAATACTAATTTATCTCTTTCATGTAGATATACCATATGGGCTGCTCATGGATGTTTTCTCGATAAAGATGTTGGATCAATATCTCCCGGAAAATTGGCAGATTTCGTGGTACTATCAACTGATTCATGGGATGAATTTTCAAGAGAAGGATCTGCTTATGTTGAGGCAACATATATGGGTGGCATCAGGGCATTTCCATGAATTTCTTGATTATGTGCATGAAGGAAACTGTAAATGTCAAATACCTGATGGATCTCAAATTCTTTTTCCATCTTATGGACGATTTCAGTGGGGCAAGTTAAGCCTTGTGACAGGAGCCGATATCAGTGTATGAACGATATCAGAAGGCAAAGGTAACAGCCTCAGGTGGGTACCTCGCTGCAGTCAGTGGCTAGGTTAGGAATTAGTTCGTTTTAGGAGGATTGAATTTAGTGGTGATAAATGACTGATGGAACGAGATAACTTAAAGCAGTTGGGGTGGCAATCGGATCAGAAATGATTGGCAGGTCAGATTGAAACCCAGATATAACAGGAAATCTACTTACCCATACACGATCCGCCAACCTACAACAAGTCAGGGTACTTGACCTGACCCTAAAATTTTATGGTTGGTGAGTCAATTTCGAGTTATAGTTCGCACTATGGTTGGCGGGTCAATTTCGGATTGGTAGGTCAATTTCAGGTTGGCGGGTCAATTTCGATCACTGTAGTTTCTAATAGAATTAATTTTGTACAAGGCTAATTACATAATCAAGTAATAAAAATCTCGATCAAACAATTTCAAATCAGATTTGAAATAAATTAAAACATTGTAAAAGTACTTTATTCCAAATCAAATCTAAAATAAATTAAGACACTAAAAGTAGAAAATAATGTAATACATTATTTGTCCAAACATAATAATTTCAACTTTACACAAATTAAACAAATTCATTTAGGATTAAGTGATTAATGACTTTGGGGAAAAAAAGAATAACTTAGTTTAGTTGGATAAAATTTTATATTTATTAAATTCTTTTTAATTTATAAACGGGTTATCGGGTCAATCTGTGGATGATTTGAATTTGACCTATTTTTTTTTCAAGTTTATAGGATTGGAGCAAATTTTGATTCAAATCCATGAAACCTTAATTTCATGTTAGGTTTAATTTCATATTAAGTTTGTATCGTATTTTTAGGTCGTATCGAAAATTGCCACTCTAAACAATTGAATCCTGGATGTTTGCAGCAATGCAGGTATGCATACTAAGTGTACATTTGTCTGTCCTTTCTAAGTGGGATGGTAACCTTAACTGACGAGATTACTCTTCTTAAGCTGCCCTTTGCACAGGATGTATTTGCTGGCTGTAAGACGTGCCAGTTTCGTAGCGTCTTCGTACTTCAATAATTAATATTGGTTTGGGCAATGTTTTAAATTGTATATTATAGCAAAATTATTATGGCTGTGTGAAGTGATTATGCAAATTGCAAATACAAGGATAGAGACTTGATATCTTATGCATTCAATTAGTCAATACCAGAACGACAAACAAAGTAAATAACCAATTGAATATAAGTCAGGAAATTTAATTATTTTGTCATAAATGATAATATGTTTATGAATAAATTTTGTTAACAAGATTTTGTGCAAGGACCAACATATAAAAGCACATATGAGAATGCCAAAAGAAAGTATTACATTTAAGCAGCGAATATATTAGCTTGGATCCTGTCTCCCTTTTGTTTCATGTTTTGTAAAAGGGTAAAAGATTAGCTAAAATGATTGGATAAGATCCAGATTTTATTTTGATTTAACGCCATTCAAACTAATATATGGCTAGAAAAATTAGCCTTAGGAAGGGCTAATGGCGAAAAATTGATGGTTACTTTTCTTGTTGAATCAAATATAGACAATTATAAATATCATTTTGAGTACCCTTCTACAAACTTTTCCTCTGTTACCCCCAGTTGTGTTCATTCTTTCTTTCCTTTTTCTTTAATAAGCATGTTAAGCTACTTTGTGGTTTCCTATCAAGAAATTATCCTAACTTCACTTTTGTTAGACAACTTCAGATTAAAGACGTTAGATTCATGTATGTTACCATTTGGTAATTTTTCATTCCTTTTGGTACAGTTCTATTATATCTTAATATCTTTTCCTTTTAATATGATAATATATCTCAATATCATTAATATAGGAGGAAGCAGTTTTTCCACAACATGTATCAAGTTATGTGCTATGTTATAAGGGAGACTGTAAAACATTGCGCTAAGATATTAACTACTTGTACAAAAGTTGCCTCATGGTGACCAATAGAGCTGCAAACGAATTGAGTCGAATCGAGTTTTGAACTTATCGACCCGAGCCAGACTGGTTAATGTGCGAGCTCGAGTTTAAGGTCAAACTTGTTGAGTCAAAAAAATGAAATTCGAACTCGACTCAACTTAGAAAAAGGAAAGTTCGATCTCAATTCGTTTCTAGTTCACGAACTTAACTCGATTTTCTGGCTTGCGAGTAGCTTGAGATGCCAACTCAAGTTTTGCTTGACATTCTAGCTCGTGAGGAGCTCGAAGTCAACTCGATTTTAATTGATGTAGGGGCATTTTGTAATTTCACATCAATTCAAGCTTTTCGACCAACTCACCAAGCAATCGAGCCTAATAAATGGCTGCTGGAGCTCGACTCGTATATATTAATGCTCAACTCAAGCTTGGTGTTGACCAAACTTGAGTTGAGCTCTGACTCGAGCTACTCACAAGTGAAGACTTACTATTTTTGGGATCTGATCCGACACCGCTGCTCAAAATCTTAGTGGATCGACTCCATTACATAAGTGGATTCCTAATTTTTATCTCACACCATGGGATGAGTGATATCTCCGATCGTGACATAAGTACGCAGTTATTATTGTATTGGCTAAAAACCTTGCTAATTGATCTTTACGGTGTTTCCTATATCAATTAGATCCTTTTTTATCCATAGAAAAAGTAACTAGACATATTATATATTTCTTCATATTTCTCGTCTTCTATGAAGTTTCTTTGCTACTGCTGATAAAAATCATTGTTTTAGACGATACATATGTAGAAAGCCTAGTTTTTCTAGTATTTATTTTATTAGTAGATTTTCTTTTTTCGTTCTATAGTGGAGATAGTCGCATGTAATGACAGATGACAGCCATATCATTAAAAGCTTGTGATAAGAATGGGTTTCGCTCTAGGGCTCAAAAATAATATTCCAAAGCTTTCGTATGTTCTCCATTACTTGTGTGGAAAAGGCCTATATTATAGAGTATAAAACTTCGATCATAGGGATGTATGGATTCTCGAGAAGAGAGGAACCATGTTGGTCCCCTAAACCGCTCGGATCTCATAAGTGAATCGAAAGTTGGATCTACATTAGATCTCATTCGAATCGCCCCATCTATCCTCCCAAGAAGAGGTTTGGTTTCAAACCCAAGTTCGAATAGGAGTATACCATGCTAATGTGCCTTGGATGATCCATATCTCAGGGTCAAGCGCCGATAAGATCCATCCATTTAGCAGCATCGTAGGATGGCGTACAAAATAAAAGTGAAGGACGAGGTTCAAACGAAGAGAGGCTTATGATGGATACCTAGGCACACAGAGACGAGAAAGGGCGTAGTAATTGATGAAATGCTTCAGAGAGTTGAAAATAACCATAGATCTAGAGATTCCCAAACAGGGCAACCTTTCGAACCGTTGCTGAATCTAGGGGTGTTTCGCGAATCGAGCGACTCGTGATCGGCTCGCGAGCGGCTCAAATACGAGCTCGATTCGAGCTCGTCAATATTGAACTCGAGTCGAGCTCGAGCTAATTAAGTCGATCTCGAGCTCGAGCTCAAAAACATTACACTCGTTGGTTCGCGAGCGGCTCGCGAGCTCAATTATATATATATTTTTTATTTTTTATTTTAATAATAAAATTACATATATATATCCCTAATATTTTATTATTTGTTAAAAAACTTATTATTTTATTCATTTTTAAAAATAAATAATTATTTTTTATTTTTTAAAAATAAAATAATAATAATTATTTTTTTATTTTTTAAGTTCGAGCTCGAGCTCGAACTCGACTTGAATTTGAGTCGAGCTCGAGCTCGAGCTTGATATTTTGAGCTCATCAAGCTCGAGCTCGAGTTCGAGTTTCACAAAATTAACTCGAGCTCGGCTCGATTAACCAAGTCTCGACTCGAGTTCGGCTCATTTACACCCCTAGCTGAATCCATAGGCAGTCAAGAGACAACTTGGCAAACTGAAATATCTTAGTAGCCTGAGGAAAAGAAAGTAAAAGTGATTCTTGTAGTAGCAACGAACGAAATGAGAGCAGCCTAAACCATGAAAACGAGGTTGTGGCCTGTGGGAGAGCAATACAAGTGTCATGCTGTTAGGCGAAAGCCTGACGGAGCAATGCCGCGTGGAGATAGAAGGCCCACGGGTTGTGAACTTCTTTTCCTGAAGAAGAATCAATGACTGTATTTAGGGAATAAGTATCGGCTAACTTTGTGCCAGCAGTCACGGTAAGACAGAGGATGCAAGTGTTATCTGGAATGATTGGGCGTAAAGCGTCTATAAGTGGTTTTTAAATCCGTCGTCAAATCCCAGGGCTCAACCCTGGATAGGTAGTGGAAACTACCAAGATGGAGTACAGTAGGGGCAAAGGGAATTTCTAGTGGAGCGGTGAAATGCGTAGAGATCGGAAAGAACACCAATGCCGAAAGCACTCTGCTGGGCTAACATTGACACTAAGAGACGAAAGCTAGGGGAGTGAATGGGATTAGATACCATAGTAGTCCTAATCGTAAACGATGGATACTAGGCGCTGTGCATATCGACTCGTGCAGTGCTGTAGCTAACGCGTTAAGTATCCTGCCTAGGGAGTACGTTCGCAAGAATGAAACTCAAAAGAATTGATGGGGGCCCGCACAAGTGGTGGAGCATGTGGTTTAATTCGATGCAAAGCGAAGAACCTTACCAGGAAAATTCATATGAAATTCACCTTTACCTTCGAAGATTAATGACGAAAGGTTGCTTTGTTTATCCGCGATTGGAAAAATATCAATTAGATCGATTGAAATATCCCCCTTTTGCTTTTAGTTTTCTGTTTTAAAGAATTCTTGTGAGGGAGCTCATAGGAATAATTTTATTTCAATGAACCAACTCGTTGAACAAATTTATAGATAAATAATGATGATTTATCTGATTTAAAAATCAAACTATATATTATTATAGAAAATTAAATAAAAAATATTCAAGCAAGAACAAGAAAGGACTATTGCAGAATTAAAAAAAAAGGGTCAAAACTCTAATTGTGATGGTTTTTTTATGTCGGTTTTTTGATGACCCTATCTTGAATATGTCCAATTTCCCTATTCAACAAAAAGTTTAGTTGTATGCAATAACTCCATTGCAGGGGGTATAGTTTAGCGGTAA